ATAAAGGTTCTGGTACAGGAAAACGTTTAAAAAGTGCTTTGGAGAAGGCTACTATTCAAGGTAACAAGCAATCAAGATCATGCAAAACATGTGGGGTTAAAGGGCATAATTCAAGGAAATGTTTGACATTGTTGAATAACTCCAAGGTACAAAGTGCATAGTTGTGTCTAGAAATATATTTCGATTTTTTTTGTATTTCAATAAAGTTCAATAATACCATATAGATAAAAGTTTGAATTTTTTAGTTTGGATTTTTTTCTATTGTTTTGGTTTGTGATGATGTATGAGACATTTGGGTTGTGATGATGTGTTATACATTTGAGAACATATTGATTCTTCTAATATTTTCAATCTTTAATTTTTTGAAGTATATACGAATGATTGCAGTATAATGCTTTGTTATCAAAATATTATAATACAAGATTATGCATGTAAGAATGTTATATAGGTATATGCAACATCTAATATTATTCTAATAGAATACTGATGCCATTATACATTATTCTATTAGAATATTCTACCATGGTCATTAAGAAGTGATCATAATACCTACTATACATTAAGCATTAATCACCTAATAAACCATATCATTAAGAAGTGATCATAATACCTATTATACATTAAGCATTAATCACCTAATAAACCATATCAAGTTTCTTACATAATACTAGGCATCATTTTTTTGTCTAATTTGTTCAAAATAATACAGATATTAGAAAAGGAATTGTTGTTAAGTCACCATAACCACATTTATAAAATTCCAAACTTCTATCAAATTCTATTACCCATTTCCAATTCATCCATCCTTTGGATACCTTCCTCTAACATCTTTTTTCTAGTCGCATGATCAAATTTTCCAAATTCGATTGCCTCTTTGATAACTCTATCCTTGTGGTTGTTGATTTCATGTGTAGCAATCTTAACAGCATATAAGGCACGTAATTTTACAAATTGAACATCTTGCACATCACTGCCTTTTTCCATTTCCACATTCCACTTTCCTTGCTTTTCTCCACAATATTTTTCCATATGTCTCATTAAAAGTGCTCCATTCTCTGTTGTCAACTCCTTTGTGTTCCAGTCAATTTTCATCATCTTCACTGTTGTTGATCGCAAACCTTTGATTTTATTGATGATAAATGTAGTTTTCTCCAAATATCGTATAAAGTACAATTTCTGCAATGTATATTAACAAAATTACATTATTAAATATATTATATTGTAACTTTAATACAATTAATAAAAGTAAATGAAAACTTACTAATGATGTTGGTGTCATTCCATAAGTTTTTTCTAACGATTTTGTTTGTATGCTGTCTATAATATGAACTTGTGGATATGTTAGGTTAAAAACAACAGTATACATCTGATCACCGTTATGTATTGGGAAAACCACCTGCAATTCCAACAAATTCATCAAAAAGTTAACATAATTCCTATCTTTTAATAATGTAATATTTTAATTAATAAAATATTCTTACGAGTTTAAGATCATTGAAATCTACATTTGCCTTGAAATTAGATAGAAACTTATCAACACGAGTCTCAAAAGTTAAAAAAACGCTCGTCAAAAGATTTAGTTTCATCTAACAACTTAGAACTTTGTAAACATAGAAAAACAGAAAAATTAGAATATCTTGTTACAATTCACAACTAAAATATAGAAGTTCCAATTGTAAACGAATTTACCATAATTTTGGTATTGAAGAACAGGCGGTATGGTTTACTTTTTGATTTTTGTTCCTCGTAATTTAGAACAGCAGCCCAAGAATCAATCACACGATGATGTATAACATGTTTAGGCCGCATGCTCTCAAAATCCTGTCTATGCATAATCTCTCCCGTATTTGTTTCAAAAAGTACCTCCCTTAATTTTAAACATGAACAAAAAATATGTCATCAACATTAGAATAAATATACACATGTATTATACCAAGAGTTAGTGACTTACATTCTATTTTTCTCCTGTGCACATCTTATTAGAACCTGAATCAAAAGAACATTCTGCAAATCGATTCTATCAAATAAATTCACAGCTTTATCCATATATGGTGATTTGTAAGAACTTATATAATTCTCCCCTGTGTCACCATTTTGAGATTCAACCCTTTCATGTGATCCCTTTTTTTGTTTTCATTGTTTTGATTATCAGCACTTGAAAAAATAGGATCTGAAAATAACTTAATGAACTTCTCTTTCAATTCATTTGTTATATTGACATCTCGGAACTTTGATATACAATCAAAAACAATTCCATACATGTCCTCCTTTATTGATGAAACTTTATTGAACATCTTATCAAAGTTATCTTTATATTCTTGAAAAATAATAAAATAATATAATTATGAGCATGTAATATTTTATCATCTCAGAATATCTAGAATATTTACTATGAACCATAAGCATGTAATATAAGAATATCCAGATTTTTATAAAATCATACTTTAACCTAATATAAAAAGACATTAGAATATTTTTCTTATATTAAGTTACGATATAATTAAAATATATTCTAAAACATAATTTAATAATATATTCTACTTAGAATATACCTCAATACGTGTGTCCTGATTCTCATTCACCTGATTTTCATTCTTCTCACGTTCTAAATTTGAACTTTGTTCAATTAGATTCCCAACCCCAAATCCACCAGCTTCAATCTCAAAAGATTGTCTTTCCTTCAACTTATCTGCTGTCCACATCGTAACTAATGGTGTTTTACGTTCTATTTTTTGGAGCTTGCATTCAATTTCATCACAGTAAATTAGCTGCATTATTTCAACATCATATTAGATATCCATTTTTAAGAAAAAAAGTAAGTATATGAAAAAACATACCAATAGCAACAACATCGGGCCTTTATAATAACACTTGGGGTTGTCTGGACGCCATCTCCCTTTTGAATTTTTCACACAGTACAACAAATATGCACACCAATCGATTTTAGAAATGTCATCTACTTCAACAAGTGCTCTAACTGGAACTAAGTTGTTTGTCCCCATAGGAATGGATTCTGCAAACGTATTAACGAATAAAGCTATGAAACCCAGCTTGAAATTCATATCCACTTGTTCGGATTTTTGAATAATCTTCTTGTAATTTGTTGCATTTGCCTTTCCATCCTCAAGTTCCTTCATCCATCCATCAAACACTTGATGATCTTCACTAACCTTGTCCAAATCAAATAAGCTTTTTCCAGTTTTGGGTAAACCAAACACTTTATGAATTTTTTCCTTTGTGATCTTTATTCTTTTTCCTTTAATCAGAATACTGTTTGTGCCTTCATCATAATGCTTAAGCACAAAATGGCAAAGTTTTAAGGGAATACTCTTAATGTTGATCTTCAAAAAGGCTTTAAATCCCATCCGTTTCACCCAATCTTTTTGTTCTGATGTCAAAGAACTTACAACATCTGTCATCAATCCAGGTGTCGATCTAGTGTTTATTGAAGGCAACTCCTTCAATATATCTTTCACAGTCTTTTGCTCTTTCACGGTTTTTTGTTTCTTTATTGCTGCACGATTGTCCCCACTATTCGTCTTCCGTTTTCCTTCTTTAATCTTTGTCACTACAAAGTAATATTCCAAACAGAATATTATACATATACACTTATTATATCAGAATATTCTATGAAATTTAATCCAAAAATACTATATCATCTAAGTAAAATGTAGATATTTATTCAAAATATATTATTTATAAAAATTTAAACTCAAATGTTGCAAAATCCTATATCAGCTAAGTAAAACAACAAAAAAATCAAGTATAACATGATTTATGATATAATAATATATAGAATGTGTAATATGAACCATAAATATTTCATATCATAGAAACATACTTTCACATCAATAAACAATAGAAAAATACTTTCACATCAAAATACCAAGAATTTTCAGTTATGATCCATAAGCAATTGATGTCAAACATAATATTGTTCCATAATATTGGAATTGTAAAGTATAAAATCATAATGATGTAAAATGCTTATGCTAACTCTAATTGTAAATGCATAATCAATAATAACAAATATGAATTTTATCTATATATGACATTCTTGCTATTAGAATAACATTAATACACAAGATATTATAGTACAAATACAATAATTGATGATATACCTTTTTTTCTTTGGTTTTTGCTGTTGTATTGGCTGATTCATCAATAAGCTTCAATGATTTTCTTCTTTCAATTAGTCGTTCGGCTATTGAAGTTTTTTCATGAGTTTTATCCATATACAACCTTCTTGCTGTTTATTGTCATTTTCATAATCAAATTAGGAAATAATAATTGATTTATCATATCCAAATATCTAGAGTAACATTTAAAAATATTCTACTAGAATAAGATTAATAGAACATAGAAAAACATTAATAGAATATAATATTTTATTTGTAATACATAGAATAACATAAACAAATGAGATAAATATTTTATTAGAAAACATTGAATACACAATATATCATTTATTCTTTTATATTTTATTATAATACATAGAATAGTTTATTAAAGTATATAGAATAACAGAAACAAATTAGATTAACAATTAAAAATATTATATTAGAATAAAATTAATAGAATATAGAAAAACAATAATAGAATATAGAATATTTTATTATAATACATAGAATAACAGAAATAAATGAGGTAAATATTTTTATTAGAATAGAATAATTGATGATATACCTTTTTTTTGTTTTTCTTTTGATGTTGTAGTTGTTAATTGATTGATCGACTTCGATGATTTTCTTTTTTGAACCAACTGTTTGCCTGTTGAAGTTTCAACTTCACTACTTCTACCCAGTGTCATCATTTTTATTTTTGATTTTGTCATTCTTGTTATAATATTATCTGCATGAAAATAATTAATGTTAAATACAATTTAAATGTAATCTGTAATAGAAAAACACTTACATTTATTTCAAAATTATATTCTAACTCATCATAATACATACACACAAAGAAAACAACATATAAAGATACACATAATAAATTTAAAGCAAATTGACCAATATGCCCCTGCACTGTTTCTTTATGAGATTAAAATTACTCGAATTTTCTATAAACACAGTTACATACATACACATTAAAAACAGAAGCAAATTGATGAATATGTCCCTGTACATAGTATTTTTTCCATCCACTTACCCTAGTGATGCTTGACTTAACCATGCATAAAGTTTATATAATGATTAAAGTTTTGTGTAAAAGAACAGTTAGAAGTTGAATCACATAGTAAGATGTCAAAAGTGGAATGATAACTCTCTATTTTATCAGAAAATGCAGAAAACACATATAATAACTTGATTGTTAATTACACAATTTTGTTTTTGTTTATGTGATGAGTTCTATACTAATTCAGATCAAGTTCTGAATTATTAGAGGACATAATATGCAATTGTTTAATGGAAAAACTTTATTATTCTTATTCAGACCAAGACCACCAGGACCAATACCATGAGAATGTTTCTTTTCATATCTGCCTTGAAAGCACTTGTGTATATTTCCTTTTTCACATACACACAAAATCTCAAAAGTAATAAATAAATGTGTTTGGTTGAAATCAAAACTGAATGCCCCTGCAAATAGATGAAAGGCTAAAGCTTTATTTATCATTAATCCAAAGAATCCCACATAAGAATGTATTAAATGTAATATAAGTAGGGGCATATTTTTGTTATAAATACATACTCAAACAACACAAAAACGCCCATATTCACTAAGAAACAAGAGCCCGATGCCCTAATTATTAGTATGTAGATATGGAGACTGGAGGAACAATAGAAGGTCAATTCTCAAAGATATATCGCCGTTTTCAAACGAACTCAAGGATATAAATGATAATTAACAGAACTAAAATACCTGGAATTTCTTGAGAAGTTTTGGTAATAATGGCATTTAGGTGATCTGATGGTGTAGATTCTGAAGCACGCGTTGATGTAGCCATTTTCGTTGATAAGAAATACTCGATAAGAATGAAATTAAGTTTAGGGTTTTATCGATGTTATAAGTGAAAATCGGATTCACAACATCAAAATTGAAATTGATACAGGGAGAAATCGAAGATGACGAGTTCAAGAGCACAAGAAGTTAGGGTTTTGATGGAGTGTTTAAAACCGAAAATGATAAGAAGTTTTGGAAGACGGTTTTTGAGAACACAGATGAAGAAATTGAGTTTTTTCATTTTAATGTTCTTCCATCGTATAAGTATAAAATCTCAAAGTTATCACGTTTGTCCCTTTTTCGTCCCTGGAAAATAAGTCCTAGTATTTTTAGTCCCTTTTAATTTAAAAACTTACAGTTTGGTTCAAATATTATTTTAATTGTAAAATAAAATTACTTAATTACAAATATTCTAAAATAAATATTTTCATTTATTCTAAAATTTTACTTATACTAATAGAGACAATGTATTTTTTTTATAAAGTATACTAAAATTTTTATTATCGTAATTTTTTATTATTGTAACATGATACTAAATATAATTTCATTTATTCGTTTTATTAAAATATTGTAAAACAAAATTACATATTATATTAAAACGTTTTATTATTAAGTATTTTAATGAAACCAGAATAATCAGAATAATTCACATAAAACAAATTAGAATAAGCTTAATACAATATTAACAATATGTGTTTTAATCATTTATCATTTTACCAAACAATTTTTTAATCAAATAAATAGGCATCATCAAACAAAAAGTTTAAACGCAATATATCATTTACTATTAAGCAGTAAATATTTTATCAAGATACCAACTAACTGGTTTAAGCATATCATTTAGCAAAATATCAATGGTTTAAGTATATCCTCAAACATAAGCATTTAAAAAAAAACAAAATAGAAAATAAAATGTCTGTATGTAATAAGCCAATATAAAATTTTTTCAAACTTTCTTCATTTCCAAATTGTCTCTTGCTTCACTGCCTTCTTTCACCAACATACACCTAGTTTTCTTATCAAGTTTTGAAAATTCCAATGCTTCTGTAACATTCAATTTTCTCTGCTTGTTGATTTGATGGTTTGCTAGCTTAGAAACATAAAATGTACGCAACTTTGCAATCTTTTTAGATGTCCTAACACTTTCTTCTCCCAGTTCCACATCCCATTTTTCTTCTTTCTCACCCATGTATTTTTCCATATGCCTCATCAAAAATATACCATCATCATTTGTCTTAGTTTTTGTTTGCCATGCCATTTTCATTTTCTTTGGCTTCATAGATTTAAACAAAGAAACCTTATCCCGCCGATTGTTGTCCAAAAACTTTGAAAAGTACATTTGCTGCAATGCATATTAATAAAATACCATTATTTTTCTAAAATGATAACTATATTAAGTAAATAAATCTTATAAGAATATAAATATTATATTTTATATTCTAATCAAATTTATTTACTAATACAGAGTGGTTTTTTAAAGTAAACAATTATGATTAAAATAAAGTTTTTAGATTTATGGAAGAAACATTTACCACAAGTTTAGGAATCTCTCATAGACATCTTCTACTTTTTTGGTGTATCTTATGTTGTCAATGATTATATGTTCTGGATTTGTAAGGTTGAAAAGAATACAATAAAAATGACCACGGTTGTGTATTGGAAAAAACACCTGTAGTTCAAACATAAATACAAATGAATTTTTATAAATTTTAATATGAATATGTTATCTTGTAATCAAAAATACATACCAGATTAATAGAATTGAAATCCACTTTTCTTTTGATGTCATATAAGTAATTGTTTACAGCCTCATCAAAAAGTCGGGATCTTTCAACAAAAGGTATTGAAGAATCCAGTAATTTTTCTGTCTGTACATATAGAACAATAGAAATATTATAATACATTGTTTTAAATTATAATTAGAATATAGAAAATAAATTTAAAAATTAAGTACCATAATTTGAGTGTTGAAGAAGACACGTGGTGGTGATTTTTTGTTTCTCAGGTTTTCTTCTTCAAAATTAAGAACAGCAGCCCAACAATCAATAACGAAAGGATGTATCTTATGATTTGGACGCATACCCTCAAAATGCACCCTATCCATTATGTCTCCAGACTCAGTTTCAAACAGCATTTCCCTTCAAAACAAAAATATTGAATTGTAGTTAAAATATTCCAATAGGAATATTACACAATTATGAATTTACTTACATTGGATCTTTGTCTGCAACGCATCTAAACATGATTTGCGCCATTATCTCTTGCTCAGTACTGACTTTTTCACTTAAGTCAATTACCCTATTCACAAAAGGTGATCTAAAAATATCTGGATTAGTCACCTTCCTTTTCCCTCTTTCATTCACATTCTGACCCTTTTTCCCTTTCTCATCTAAAATATGCTCTTCATTCCCTTCTAATTCTCCATCTTCATCATTACCCTCAGAATTATCACCAGTTTCTGCATTGTTTATTAGTTGGGTTATTTGAAGATCAAAGGAGGGAAATTCTGAATTTTCAAATGTTAGCTTTTTTGGAACAGGAGATCTGACAACTGGATTTTGAATTGTATTTGAATCTGGATTTCTGTTTGAGAATATTCTAAGCAAATCCTCATCCATTTTTTCTATGAATGAATCAGACCAAGGGGAAAAATCAATAGATATACCTTTTGGATTGTGTTTTGGTGTAACAATTGAGCTCTCACCTATGTTGTCTCCAACCACCTTCTCTACAATATTCCCCTCCCTAATATTCTCCCCACCAATAATTTCACCACCTTTAACAAGATTTTTGCTATCAACATTGTCTTCTAAATTCTTTTTTTCAATAGTCTCGTCTATATTATTCACCTCTAAAGCCAAATTTATTTTGTCATCAACATTTATGCCTTCAAATTCTATTTGTCTTTCTGGATTATGCGGATGTCTAATCGTTTCCTCGCCAATATTATTCTCAAAACCCAAATTTATTCGGTCATCAACATTCATATCTTGATCTTCTTCTTGTGTTTCTTCATTCTCTGGAAACTTCTGTTGTAATGGTTTAATAGCTAAAAATGCAACCAACTTTGTATTCATTCCTTCATCTTTATCATCATCAGAATCAGAAATGTTTGTTTTATTAAGCTCTTCATCTCTATCTGATTTGACTTCAGTTCTCTCCTTAATAGTTTCTGATTTCTCTCGACTAGAAAAAAGTGTAGTTGAAAATATGTCTCTAAACTTTCTTATCATCTCCTTCGTTTTATTGTCTTCAGGGAACTTCGATAGACAATGAAAAATAATATCTTCCATATCATTCTTTTCAGTTGAGACATTGTTGAAAATTTTTTCATACTTTTCTTCATACTCCTGGGAAAAAAAGACATTAGAATATTTTTCTTATATTAAGTTAGGATATAATTAAAATATATTCTAAAACATAATTTAATAATATATTCTACTTAGAATATACCTCAATACGCATGTCCTGATTCTCATTCACCTGATTTTCATTCTTCTCAAGTTCTAAATTTGAACTTTGTTCAATTAGATTCCCAACCCCAAATCCACCAGCTTCAATCTCAAAAGATTGTCTTTCCTTCAACTTATCTGCTGTCCACATCGTAACTAATGGTGTTTTACGTTCTATTTTTTGGAGCTTGCATTCAATTTCATCACAGTAAATTAGCTGCATTATTTCAACATCATATTAGATATCCATTTTTAAGAAAAAAAATAAGTATATGAAAAAACATACCAATAGCAACAACATCGGGCCTATATAATAACACTTGGGGTTGTCTGGATGCCATCTCCCTTTTGAATTTTTCACACAGTACAACAAATATGCACACCAATCGATTTTAGAAATGTCATCTACTTCAACAAGTGCTCTAACTGGAACTAAGTTGTTTGTCCCCATAGGAATGGATTCTGCAAACGTATTAACAAATAAAGCTATGAAACCCAGCTTGAAATTCATATCCACTTGTTCGGATTTTTGAATAATCTTCTTGTAGTTTGGTGCATTTGCCTTTCCGTATTCAAGTTCCTTCATCCATCCATCAAACACTTGATGATCTTCACTAACCTTGTGCAAATCAAATAAGCTTTTTCCAGTTTTGGGTAAACCAAACACTTTATGAATTTTTTCCTTTGTGATCTTTATTCTTTTTCCTTTAATCAGAATACTGTTTGTGCCTTCATCGTAATGCTTAAGCACAAAATGGCAAAGTTTTAAGGGAATACTCTTAATGTTGATCTTCAAAAAGGCTTTAAATCCCATCCGTTTCACCCAATCTTTTTGTTCTGATGTCAAAAAACTTACAGCATCTGTCATCAATCCAGGTGTTGATCTAGTGTTTATTGAAGGCAACTCCTTCAATATATCTTTCACAGTCTTTTGCTCTTTCACGGTTTTTTGTTTCTTTATTGCTGCACGATTGTCCCTACTATTCCTCTTCCTTTTTGCTTCTTTAATCTTTGTCACTCCTTCAACATATTTTCTATCACCGGTTCTCTTTTTTACATAGATTTCTTCATCAGATTCATCATCTAATTCATTACATCAGTCATAGATGTTAGTAACCCCACAAAAATCCAAAAATCATATTCATTTAATTACAAAGTAATATTCCAAACAGAATATTATACATATACACTTATTATATCAGAATATTCTACGGAATTTAATCCAAAAATACTATATCATCTAAGTAAAATGTAGATATTTATTCAAATTATATTATTTATAAAAAATTAAACTCAAATGTTTGCAAAATCTATATCAGCTAAGTAAAACAACAAAAAATCAAGTATAACATGATTTATGATATAATAATATATAGAATGTGTAATATCATAGAAACATACTTTCACATCAATAAACAATAGAAAAATACTTTCACATCAAAATACCAAGAATTTTCAATTATGATCCATAAGTAATTCATGTCAAACATAGTCTATGAAAAATATTCTTCGAAACACTCTAATATTTATATTGTTCCATAATATTGGAATTGTAAAGTATAAAATCATATTTCACGAAAAAAAAAAGTTTAGATTATTTTACCCGTTGAATGTGTGTATGATTCTGTCTCTGATTCTGTTGAAGAATCAGAAACATGTTTTTTCTTTTTGTGCTTCACATCATTATGGATTAATTTCTTGTGGCGCTTGAAATATTTTTTGACTTTTCTTTTTTTCTTTTTATTTACTTTATCTGCATCAATAATTATTCTATTAGAAAAATATGATATACTTTTATTGGATGTCAACATATATATTATAAAAGACAATATATTTTACCATATTCATCACTCTCTGTTGTGGATGTCTCTGACTCTGATGTCTCTGACTGTAAAGATGAAGAATCTGAAACATAGTGTCTTTTTTTCTTTTCAAGTATTTTCTTCTTTTTTGTATTTTTAGCTGTATGAAGAAATTTAAAAATTGAAATAAATTAGAATATTTATTTTAATCAACTTGAATGTTCATAATAATCAACCGAAAAAAATAAATCCAAAAAATTAGAATAAGTGTTTTAAAGAATGATTGTTGATACCTTTTTTAATTCTTTTTCTATGATGTGAGGATGAATCAGAAGAAGAATCGGAGTCGCTTTCAGAAGTAACAACGTTTTTTTTTTCTTTGATTTTCCTTCATCTGCCTTCTTTTTCTTTTGATTTACAATTTGCAAATCTTTTATCATGAAATTTAAGAATTAAAATCAATTAGAATATATGATAAAACAAAATTAGAAAAATAAATCCAAACATTTGTTTTTTTTTTTAATTTATGAATTATTTGAAAGAAAGTGTGTTCATACCTTTTTTAACCCTATCTTGACTCGCTGAATCTGTATGAAGAAAATTATCAAATAAAAACAATTAGAATATTTATTAAAAGCATTTAGAGGTTAATAAAAGCAATTATAATATTTAATCTAAAAGTAATCACAATTTATACTTATATCGATATAGATTTCTTTCCCTGTTTTTCTTACAGTTGCATTTGTTTGCACTTTTTTAGTTGCATCAATAACATCAAATTCCATTAGAATTTGCAAATCTTTTGTCATGAAATTTAACAATTAAAATCAATTAGAAAACATGATAAAACAAAATTAGAATATTCAGAATAACTAACTTAGAAAAATAAATCAATTAGAATATATTAGTTTATGATATATAATATGGTCACAGTTCAATAAATACATAACAACAAATTTCTATTTATCAATCAACATAAGGTTTGTCTTCTTTTTTTTTTTTTTTTTTATTTTTTATTTACAATTAAAATCAATTAGAAAAATAAATCCAAACATTTGTTTTTTTTATGAATTATTTGAAAGAAAGGGTGTTCATACCTTTTTTAACCCTATCTTGACTTGCTGAATCTGTATGAAGAAAATTATCAAATAAAAACAATTAGAATATTTATTAAAAGCATTTAGAGGTTAATAAAAGCAATTATAATATATAATCTAAAAGTAATCACAATTTATATCTATATCGATATAAATTTCTTTCTCTGTTTTTCTTACAGTTGCATTTGTTTGCACTTTTTTAGCTGCATCAATAACATCAAATTTCATTGGAATTCATATTAGTTTATGATATATAATCTGGTCACAGTTCTATAAATACATAACAACAAATTTCTATTTATCAATCAACATAAAATTCACTAGAATACAAAGATTTTTTTTGGCTAAACAATATACTACAATCATAATAAGAGATTTGTGTTACCAAAATCTATAGTATTAGACAATTTATGGATCTAAATCTAATTAAATGATGAACAATTAGTTAGAATAACATAACATCTTTGCTGATTTTGATTAAGAATATTTAGATCAAATGAAATGGAGGAATAATTAGAACACTCTGTACAGTTAACATTTAGATACATAGACTCTATATAAATCACACACTAAGATTTAGGTTTAGATTGTATGCTTTATAATGCTATATTCCTTTACATACTGACTTCGACATATAAATCGTTAGTGAACTATCTCGATTATTACACATTTATTGAATACACAAAACGATTTAAAGTGAAAAAACTTTCTATAATAAGAACATATAGGTTTATTGTGTAAGAACAAGAGGTTTGTAGTATTATACTTACTTGGAACAGCTGTTGATACAAAATCAGAATCAGAATCTGTAGAATGAGCCATTTGATTCGATATCAAATTCAAAATCGAAATGTTTTTAATGTTCTAGTTGATTATCGAGTGGTTTTCGTGTAATAATTAGAAGATGAATTTCAGGTATAATCAGAATTAGAGTCTGAAACAATGATCGAGATTTGGAAGCAGAACGATGATCGAGATTTTGGAAGCAGAACGATGATCGAGATTTGGATCAAATGGGTTTTAGGGTTCGTACCGGGTGTTTGTTTTTGTGTGTTGAAAGAAAAAGAATGCAAAATTCCATTAATGCCCCTCCGTGTCTTGATCTAATCCCAAAGTTCCATTAATTTACAAAATTGCCACCGCCTATTTTATGGTTTAATCTGAATTAATATTAGCCTTTGATTATTTAGGATGAGTGGTCAAGATTTGGTCTTCCCGTTTCACAAAATCAAGTGGTCTCACATGAACCTAACCCTATATATATATATATATATATATATATATATATATATATATATATATATATATATATATATATATATATATATATATATATATATATATATATATATATATAGGGCTTAAGGAATATGTAACTGTTATGTACTTAATATTAGGTATAGAACCATAAAAAACTATATAATTTTAATAAAATGCAATCAAATCTCTCTACCATCTTTATTGTATTCTCTATTAGACTAGATGATAGACTTTGTATATACTTTTATGGAGTTTTAAATATTTAATTTTACACCACAAACCATGTATAAAAAATACATATCAACTACGTATAAATCTTCATACTAAGAATTAATATAGAAAAATATAGTAAAATATTGAAATTGTTCATTAAAAATCCAATAAACTTTTTCTCGTAACACATCAAAAAAGAACCATGCAAGTATATATACGGTAGGTGTCAAAGAAAATTATGAAATCTAATAGAAGCCTAATATATACAACACATTCGAAATACATAGATGTTGGAGAAAAATTATTAAATGAGAAATAATATGAGCTCAAAAACACTAGGAAGAAGCTAACAATGAAAAAAATGTTCTTTTTAATCAAAATGAAATCAATTTTGATGGTTCTACACCTAATATTACATACATGACAACTATATATTCATTTTTCATATATATATATATATATATATATATATATATATATATATATATATATATATATATATATATATATATATATTAGAGATGCTCTAAAATCATATACTCAACTGTTATTTCAGAAACAAATTAAATATTTATACAAATTTTGAATAAATCAAACATAAAATGGAAATTCTAAAATAAAAACGTACTTGTTAGAAGTTTGTGCCGAACCAGATTTGAAAGGCTACAGTCAGTAGTCAGTAACAGACTCGCAGGTCTGGAGTACATTTGACTAATGAAACTTTTTTTATTTTATTTATTTATTTTTTTTATTAACCTTCAAATTTTTTTATATATCCATAAACATTAAACAACATTTCATCCCAACTTATAAATTAATTACCAATTTATTAAAATCAATTTCTTTAGAAAAAAATTCAAAACGTTAACGGAATTATATTCTCGTTTTTTTTCCAAAAAATAACAAAACACATTTATTCTTCACACAATAAATTGATAAAATAGTTTTTATCCTTACAAAACAACATTTTTGTATTAATTCTATCAAATTTAATCTAATACTTATTTCATTCATTCAAACAACCAAACACTCCATTCCTTTATCCATATTACCAAACATTCCAAAACACACCAACAAAACTCATATTTACACAGGAGATGAAACAGAGAAACAACAAAAATACCTTATTTTTTGGAAGAAACCCAAACCCTGCCATCCCATTCTTGATGAATCCTTAGCATTTTAAACGGATAAACAATCTCTTCTCTTGAATCCTCAAAATACACCAAGTAATTCGATCCAGTCTTCCTGATAACCTTCCCCACCCACCACCCATCTTTGTCGTAAGCATCAACAAGATCCAACAACGAAAACTCAGTCGCCATAACCTCCGGCGGAAGCGGCCGGATTTGATCGGCGGTGACGATCTCTCTCAAAGGCGCAAAACCGTCGTCGTTCAGAAGCGTTCTGTACTGGATTATGTACTCTTTTTTGGAAAGCGAAGAAATGATGTTTGCTATGAAGTATGAACCCGCGAAACCCTCTTCTTTGTTCGTAATTTCTACCCTGTCGCCTCTTTCATACGCCATTGTTGCCGATTTTTTTTTGTCTGCAAATCGGGAAGAGTAAAATTTTGTGTGAATGTGAGCTTGGGTGTGAAATACACTGATTTACGAGTTGCAAACACAAATTTTGAGTAATTTTGGGGACTATTTGAATTCGATGATGAGTTTTGTTGAATTGAAATGAGATTATAACAAAATCAAGCGTCAATTGCTTCCAAAAATCAAATAATAATGCTGAAAGAAAAATTAAAAGAGGATGCAGAATCAGAATTACTCTTTGAGGAATGTATGCGACCTTATCGAAAACGAAATTAGCCTGAGACGTCGAGGCAATCCTAGTAGCGCCTGTATTCCCGTAGTGAATAAGTAGAAATTAACCCTAATTTACACTACAGTCATTGACGACGAATGGTGGACTTTTTTTTTCCAATATTTTAGGAAAATCATAAACATAATCATATTTATGTTTTATTTTTTATTAGTTTCAACGAAATAATTATTTATTTTAGAGAAATAATTATTTATTTTAGGTCAGCTATATCATTTAGGACGTGTTTTAGCATCGGTTATATTCTGCCACATTAATTTTTCTATGAAAAAAATTACTAATATAACTAAAACCTTTTATTATTTAGACCAACTCCAATGGATATATAAAAATAGTGTTTTGATGTGAAAATGTATTCCAATAGACCATTAAACTTAACACAAAAATGATGGGATTGAATAATGACCTTTATATTTGATCTAATACTATTCATCACACAAAAACAATTTTTTGGATTGTTTAATTTTATTTTGGTTAGTTTTATAACTTTTACAATTTTAATGATTATTCTATTCTACAATATAATATGAAAAAATATTTTTAATGAAAATTTGAAGTATGTGGTTGGAGTAAAAAAAAAAAAGTTTTGGTGTTAAAAATACATTAATTTGGTGATATTTTTAATGGAATGGTTGAAGTTGCTCTTAGTAGAAAATTGCAACAAAAAAAACCTAAATTACAAAAATAGTCATCAAAATCGTAGATGGATTAAACTCATCTACGATGTCACTAAGTCATCTGCGAAAGTACAAGTTGTTAATGAATATCCGTGCATTAGTGACTTGTACGTTCGCATATGTATCATTATTATATATGAAAACCATGTTTTCCTCCTTCCTTTAAATTCCAATTTCCATGGTCCACTAAAAGACAAGTAACCTAAGTACAAAACGACACAATTGATGACAACTTATTGTTTTCCAATCCTCCCAATGTTTGCCAATATTCATAACGTTTCATAATCCAAAAGGAAACAACAAATCGATTTCCTTCCCCTCTAACCATTCCCGATCCTCTTCCTATCGAAAAATCCCCAAATCTTTACACTATCTCATCCTACCGGTAAAAGCACTTAAAATTATCGGAAATAGCAGTTTCATTTGCTTATGTTCCTGTTAATCTGCTTTCATCATTCAATCTCGGATTCATGATACGCTTCTTTTCCATCCTCTTCTTCCGGATGAACCAGTCAAATAGGGCTTTATTGCGATTTCAACAAATATTATCCCCACCATACACACCGGAAATCATCAGTGTCTCTTTATGTTCAGTAAATTGGGTATTAAATAATGATAATTTTACATGACTTCAAATTATAATGAAACCATAATCTCTACGACAGTATTGTTGGTTTCCAATTAGTTGTGTTGACGCACATTCACAATTGGACACCAATTTCCACTGAAAACGTTGAATGTTCAAGAACACATGACTAATTCACTCTTCTCCATCTCTCTTTTTCCTGTTTATTATAAAAAAAAACCTGTATGTCTCTTTGTAGTGTATTTTGGCATGATCACTTTTTGTGTTTATATTTATGTAGTTTTCTGAATGGGGGCAAGTTGATCGAAGGAAAGGTTGGTGCATCTCTACGCCAACATGATTGGTTTCCTATAAGTTGTATTCATTGATGTGACATCCCCAATTTCACGGCCAGAAAAGACCGATTTTGTTTATGCTTGTTTGAAAATCAGAGTAATATTTTACATAAAAGTGTTTGCGGAATTTCTTCCCAAAATAAAAATATATTAAAGATTTATCAAAGCATTTCCGTAGAAATGTATTTCATTAAAAAGACTCGGGATGTCATGTTCGATATAGATCAAAAACATAAACAGTATATTATAAGCCTTACAACAGTTATTTACAACTACTGGCCTATAATCCAAAAATCCCTCATCATCATCCAAATTATGCTCTTGGTTTACTACCTGTAAAACAGAAAGCTGAGTGGGTCAGACTTGGGTGCCTGGTGAGCATATAGGGTTTTCAACCCATAAATAATAATAAATTTATTAATTTCATCGATCAACAATAAATTTATTAATTTTATCAAACCAACAATAACCCTGATTACTCATTTCCGTTATCCTCACGTTACGTCCCTAAACACCTATACAAGGGACCTAGTCTAAGGATTTTATCATCGGGATGGACTTTACTACTAAGGGGATTCCTTAGCCATATATGTTCGTAAGGCAACCATGAGGGGGATGGAGTACACCGGTGAACATCAAGCCCACAAACACCTACAAGTTGCGAGCCTGCTAGCGTTCCACTAGACTGTCTAGAAGAGTCCGTGGTCGTCATCCATACTCCGCTAGATGACTGGAACAACAACTTATTTATTTACTTGTACCATCACTTCTGATTCATCTCCACATATTTATTGCTTATTCTCCAATTTATTATCAAATGCTTTATCCATATGATGCATGCATTATATATATATATATATATATATATATATATATATATATATATATATATATATATATATATATATATATATATATATATATATATATATATATATATATAATTTAAATCATAACTTTTAGTATATGACTTCCGTTAAATTATGACCAACATAGAAAATGGTCTTTTATATATATAATCTAACGATATATAATTATTTATCATGTTCCTTTTTTTAACTGGTCAATATGTATGTAACAAAATATTATTACTATCATATTTTGTTTACTAGTCAAAATAATATAAGTCGTAACATAAAATATTTCAAAATATATAAGATGTTATTTTACTATTCTTCTAAATTTAATAATCGATAACTCACATCGTAAAATATACTTAGGCAAATATCTCGAATATTTATTATATTGACGAATTGGTATTTGTGAGGACGTAGACTTTTATTTATATTGTTTTAGCTAACAACCAACCGATTTTCATTTATTCACACAAAAAAAAAATTACATCGTCAACTGACGTAAATACTTAGTTTATAGGATATGTCTAGCAGGAATCATGGGTGTTACAATTGACACTCAAATTGGACACCAACAGCCACTTAACACGTTCCAGGTTCAAGAACATAGGGCTAATTCACTCTTCTCCTTCTCTCCTTTCATGTTTATTATGAAAAACCCATATCACTCTCTATCTTCCATCATGCCATGATCTTCCATCATGCCATGATCGCTTCTTATGTTTATATTTATATGTAGTTTTTTGAATTGGGGCAACTTGAAAGAAAAAGGTTGGTGTAATGTGTTGTATTATTATCCTTCTCACTAATCCTTAATTTTTTTGAAGATTAAATGTGCACTTCAGATTACTGACAATAACTGTTTCATTGTTTCATAAATAATGAAATTAACATACTCCAATAGCATACAAGCATGTCTCAATTCACTTGGTGGTCTGTTACTACCGGTGAAAACAATACAGTTCTATTGGTTTGTTATAACATGCAATAACCAACCCTGATTAATGAATAATATTGGTTTAATCATTCTTTTGTAGAAATGTTGTTTAATTTTTCACGTTTGCAACAACTTACTGTTTTACATGATTTTTTTTACACAACAATTCCAAGCCTAATCAACAAAACATATTTATGGGTTTCCAATGAACAGAATTTCTAGCGTTTTGCATGTTTTTAACAAAACTTCAAATTAAGGGTTTTTTTTAAAGATATTTTTATGCGTTTGGAATTTTAATTGATGATATTCTAGACTTAGTTAGATATTTAATTTTTTTTTTTCAATATATAGCAAAGTAGCTGGATCATATATCACCTATTTCTTTCCTTGTGGAGAATTTATATAATTGATGCTAAATTATCTATTTTTTATTGAATAGGTATTGAATTTGCTTACAAGAAATGAATGTGAATAGTATGCAACATCATTCTATGGCATCAACCAAGTTCTTTCCTGATTAATTTATCAAGATAGGTAAATAAAATTTCCAAATGAATAGGTGTAACCATTAAGGAAAAACAAATTTGTCAATTTACATATTGCAAACTTGAAAATCATAAAAACATTTCAACAAGCATCTAATAATTACACAAAAACTTTAGATGTTGGTTGTTCCATTATAAATAAGAAACAATATAGAAGATTAGCTATTATAAATTTGAAGAAAAAACAAGCACGATATAATGACATAATAGACAAGTTAGACATGATTCATAATGCTTGTGAATATAAGAAAAAATATAGAAAAGAAACAATTAAAAAATGGAGAAATAAAACAAAGAAAACTTGCAATTTGAATCTCTCGTTAATTTAAAAAAATGAAAATAAATGATACCACAGTAGAAAAATCAACCACCGCAAATGAAACTATAATTGGAGAAAAAGAAGCAACTAACAAAAGAAAACTTACAGTTTGTGGTCAATCAGTTGCAATGTCAAATGTCATCAGCAATCATGTCAATAATACAAAAGGAAAGGCATTGTTAAAGCAAGTTATTTTATCTACAGATATTCTATAACATCCCAAAAATACGACCCAAATTTTTTTTTTAAATAGTAATAAAAATCATATACTTTTTTTCATATCATAAAGACAATGTGTCAAATATCTCAACTCATAATAAAATGTCGTGAAACAACTGTATCAAATCAAACTACAAATCAACAAACTCCCAAGATAAAGACTGAAGCTGTGGTGTGTGCGATGTCATCATCCCGAGCTCTTCCCCTTAATTGCGGAAATGCCTAAAACCAAAACTAAAACTGTAAGCACGAAGCTTAGTGAGCTCCCCCAAACTACCACCTACCATACAGTAACATAGAAAACGTATTGGGCCTTGCCCACTGCATCGGGCCGAAGCCTGGAAACTGCATCGGACCGAAGTCCGGAACTGACTGGGACCTTGTCCCCTGCATCGGACCGAAGTCCGGAACTGACTGGGACCTTGTCCCCTGCATCGGACCGAATTCCGGAAACTAACTCAGCATAGTATAGCATAGCATAAACACATATCAACTAGCATAACACACATGATCATAAACTCATATACTGCATACTACGTTAGGCCGTAGCCCATAACACCTAACACATAAATCCTGTCTGAGCCGTGAAGGCATCAAACACACTAACAACTACATTGGACCGAAATCCGGAAACTACTACTAACTAAACGGATCGGCATTATGGCCTTAGACCCGTTCCTACTGGAAGGAAACTGACCTCGTAGCCTAGCTGCTGAAAGGACTGCTCTGGAATCTGTCTGATGCGTCTCCGGTTTCACCCCGGCTACAATATCCATGAGCACCATTAATCAAATACTGATAATAATAATATTGAGGGTAAAATGACTCTCCTACCCCTGGTTCAAGTCAACCTAACTATCAAAGTCAACATTCAGTTGACCTGACTCGTCGATTTGGGCCGCCAACTCATCGAGTCCTTAGTCTTACTTCCTTGATTCCACTTGCTACTACTCATCGAGTTTTGGTGCAAACTCGGCGAGTTCCTCTTCGCTACTAACACTCAAACAATCTGCATCCGACTCGCCGAGTTGTATGAACAAATCGTCGAGTTCTCCTTCATCAGATGATCATTCTAAATGGGACTCGCCGAGTTGTATGAACAACTCATCGAGTCTATTCTTGAAGTATGAAGATGACCTTGGACTCTGATATGTGCATAATTAGTTAATTATTTAGCATATGTTCTTAGTGATTTTTGATTAATTATGTGAATAATGTGGACAAAAGGTACTTAAAATGTTGTGAATTTTGTTTTCAGTCCAAAAGATATGCTTGGAAGTAAAAAGGAGAAAAGGGAAGCAATTGAAGATCAAAGAGTGAAAGAAGGTGATATACTCGGCGAGTAGATCCACCCTACTCGGCGAGTACACGAGGGAGTTCCAGAAGATAAATACGACTGGTGATTTAAGACGGATAAGTATGGATCTACTCGGCGAGTTGGTTCTGCTACTCGCCGAGTACACCCTGTTTTGGGATATCTATAAAATACGAATCCTTATCTCATGGGATGATACTCCTGGCGATTTTTGAAGGTTTAGCTGCGACTAAGAGACCCAGAAAACGCGAAGGAACCCTAAGCTTCAATATTTGGAAGAATTCAAGCAATTAGGTTAATTCTACCACTTAGACTTAGGAATTGAATATGTTTGCTTTAGTAAACTTTGTTTTTATGTTTGTTTCTACTGCAATTATGAGCTAAATTCGTTTTTGTTTCTGTTTGGGGAATACCAAAGAACTCCTATGGTTTGATTATTGATTTTTGCTTAATTGTCTATTAATTGGTGATTTATTAAATCAAGTTTGTTAAAGAACCTTATGTATTAATCACTACTATTTTCTGTTAATTGGAAGGCAATTAGGTTGCATGAACATCACTTAATTGTTAACCTCATATGTCTATGTGAATGCTAAACCATATGCTTAGAAGTAATGATTATGAAACTAAGATTAATAAGAAAATAGGAAGATTAATGTGTGAGCTTGTTTGAGAAACCATCAACAAGAGGTTAATTGAATTAATAACTTAATTGACCATTACAAAT